AACCATCACAAGGGGTTCAACTTTCGATTTTCATGAAGTTTTCAGAATACTGAAATTTTCAAATTTCTACAAAATTTCAGAATTTTTTTTAAACATGGGGGTTCGTCGAAAAAATCGTAATTAACCCGAAATCTAACAAACTTATCTGTATTCTAGTACAGTTGTAACGCATATAATTGTACTAGCGAATAAGCCCGTCTCCCGCCGGGCGAGAGCTCAGCTGATTTTCATGAAAATTGAGTGGGATTTTGTGTATAATTATGAAGAATTATTTTTTTTATTATACCTCTTATTAACTGGACATGTATATTGGAAAGAAAAGTGAAAGTAACTGTTCCGCGCGATGGAAGCAAAAGTGACATCCACTCAATTTTACCTCACTGTAAAGTACAGGGTCCATGATAACCAATATAACTATTATTAGACAACCACTCACGATAATCCTAAAGAAACATCGTCAGACAACCACTATCAGACAACAAATCACAGATGAGTTGTGTCACGTCACAGCACAATATCCTCAGTGCCAACGTGACACAATTCTTCGACCCTGGGCTGTGCGCACAGCCCAGCACAGCACAGCACAATAGCCTCAGTGCCAACGTGACACAATTCTTCGACCCTGTGCTGTGCGCACAGCCCAGCACAGCACAGCTCAATAGCCTCAGTGCCGACGTGACACAACTCTTCGACCCTGTGCTGTGCGCACAGCCCAGCACAGCACAGCACAGCTCAATAGCCTCAGTGCCGACGTGACACAACTCTTCGACCCTGTGCTGTGCGCACAGCCCAGCACAGCACAGCACAGCTCAATAGCCTCAGTGCCGACGTGACACAACTCTTCGACCCTGTGCTGTGCGCACAGTCCAGCACAGCACAGCACAGCTCAATAGCCTCAGTGCCGACGTGACACAACTCTTCGACCCTGTGCTGTGCACAAAGCCCAGCACAGCACAGCACAGCACAATATCCCCAGTGCCAACTTGTGGACCCTGTGCAGTGGATGCAGAACAGCACCGACAACTTCATCACAGATCGATGAGTTGTTTCAGGTCACCTTGTGCTGTGCGTACATCTGGGGTGATTATCTTAGACGGTTATCTGGGGGTGGTTATCTTAGATGGTTATCTGCGGGTAGTTATCTTAGATGGTTATCTGGGGGTGGTTATCTTATATGGTTATCTGGGGGTGGTTATCTTGGATGGTTATCTGGGGGTGCCTGTTAGATGGTGGTTAGCTGGGCATAATTGTCAGGAGGTGGCTGTCAGGAGATGGTTAACTGGGGGTATTTGTTTTTTTAAATTCAAAATTTAATTTGAATTTTCGCGCCATTCGAAACTTAACTTTCTCCACTTTCACTTCCGTTCCGGAAAATTACTTTCACTTCCGTTGCAGACAAACATTTCCAGCTTATAATATAGATCGCTTCAGATGACCTTACCTATGTAGAACCATCATACATATCAATACATAGATTCTAAATTAAGTGAATGACATTTCTTAGTTTATTTAGAATTACCATACGAACTGTATAAAATGCATGCCATACTGTGACGGAGCTTTCTCCTATAAACACACCCACACATTCTAAACTTAGAAAGCCATAAAGTTGTAGAATCGTTCTCAATGCCTGGAGCGAAACAGGATATGCTTCCGAGAGGGGCAAGAAAATTGTAGAGTGTGCACGAATACCTACATACATACATACGCATGGAGAGGCGAGAATCCGTATTAATGCAAAAATATATTAATGTTTAAAATAATAGCTAGGATTCATTTATCATGATTATCGTATGCAATATGCAATATGCAATATGCTAAGGAAATAAAGGCTCCCACATTTTTCTGGGCAAAATGTATTTATTTCTTCCGGGTCCTTTAAATCTGTTAAACGTCGATCCATTACATTACAATTTAGATATATGCATATATGCATATATCTAAATTGTATCTATATATTTTATCTATATATGTTTTCAAGCTATAGCTTGAAAACACTTGTTTAAATTAATTTACCAGAAAATCATGACTCATTCATCGCTACTCCGCCACCTTTGCCGAACATTTGCTGAGCATGGGTGTGCACGTCCTGATAAAAAGAATAGTTGTGCAAGTCTGCTGCTGTGCAAGGCAGGTACAGGTTCCCGTGGGGGTCTCAACCTCAAACGACTCCCCAGGTTTCACACCGCCCCACTGCAAATTATATTTATTTTTGTAATAACGGTTCCAGTTTTATCCGCCATTTACTCGTAACCCGACCCACCACTAAGAAGTCTATCGTAAGTTAACTTTAGAATATTTACCTCTGGATAAAACAGTCCATCTAGAGTGCATGCCTTCCCTTCCGTCGTCAAAAGTAGCCAGGTAGAGGGTGTTCCGGAAGTAATGCAACTTTGGTAAAATGCATATATGCAAGGGTATCAATTTGCCCCAAATTCGAAATTGGGTGAATATTGTAGTCCACACATTTATCTAGTAGAATCCGAAAACCAGAAGTCGATATCTCTATCCGTTCCAAAATGAGGTCAAATACCACCAAGCAACTCGCAACCATCGTCTGCCACTACCTCGAAAAAGTGGTTACGCGCTCCAAGAAATTGAGCTGTGTTCACTTTAAAAAATAAGAAATTCCAAAAGTGACGATTTGTTGTGTTATACTAAGGTATGAGCTGCAAAAAACGACTAATCGCAAAAAATATCTGGTCGGTACATTCGTGTGGCAGCCCCGAAAGTAATAAACTTCGTGTAGATATAAATTTGTTATGTCGGAGCGAAATTCGCTGAAGTACTTGAAGTTCTCACCGAACACCATACATTATTTGAAAGCTTAGAAGTTGGACATCAAATCCTAGAAGGTTCTAGAAGCTTATAAATATAGTCAAGAGTAAAATAAAAGTAGCAAGCAGGAGGGCAGAAAAAATCCTTGACCTGAAGTAATTAAAATTAACCAAAATTGATCGTCCTGTACAAGACGATTTACTGCTCAGATTATCAAAATGCTTTTATTTGCACATAGTACAACTCTCCCACCTTCAAGAAAACCATTTATGCAAAACTGGAAATTAAATATAAGCCAAAGTATCACGCTCCGCCTTAAAACGGATCAAATGCAATTAACATGGGAGAGGTAACATGGGAAACGTTCCCAAATTTGCCAAATACAAGACCTATTGAAAAATTTTAGTTCCTATCCTAGAAAAAATATTGTAATCGAAAAACTTCAGTCAAAAATTTGAACTTATTTCAACACATGTGGTCAAAAATCTCAAAAAAGGTGACCAAAAACAGTGGCGAAGCACTAATTGTGAGCGCCTAACAAAAACGTCTCCAAATTTGGCGGAAGGGGTGTACGGACCATTGGAAGCAAAACTTAATTAGCTTTAACCTTTGTCCCTTTCTGACCAAAATTTCGCTTTAAAAAATTCGTTCGTTGAGTTTATATGTGCATTTGACCAAAGTTGCATTACTTCCGGAACACCCTCTAGCCGCGCAAATAAGGAAAATCTTGCCAATTTCCATTATGCAAGGAAATATGCAATCCTGAATTTCCTCCTTCTTAATCTACTTAACGAACGAAACTGTAGTTCTTTTGATTTACGACTCGCGTCGTTGCTTCTCTCTGTGTTACAGTAAAATGAGCAAGAAAATCAGCAACACGAATTAATTTGAGTCTGTAAGAGTTTTTTTTGCGAAAGGTGGTGCCCATTAAACTTATTTAATGCGTCTGGTAAACACATATGTTTGTTCAGCCTGAATAGCAAAATTAATTCAGGGATGGTCTAACCATATAAGAAATATGTGGGCATAAACGTCAACACCTGTACATTAGGGGCTTATTTATTTTTCTAATAAAAAACGATTAATGAATAAAAACTGAAGTCATAAATTTTTCCACGTGCTGGATGGAACAATGATATGTGAACTAGTTTGTAGAGTGTGTTGATTCAAATCGTCCCCATTGATTTGTAGAACCCTTTGTACAAAACTATGAAAATTTGCACAACGTCAGAAGGAATAATAGGTTAAGGAGATAAATTTAGGAAAACTACTTACATAATTAGGAAAGAACCTCTAGTAAAAAAGAATACCTCGAAGTTTTCACCATTTTCGAGTAGCAAGTCTTCAAATATTGACAGGGACGAATTAAATCAACACTCTTTAGTAAATACATCCGAGGAGGTAAGGTATTCAATTTTTATGCGAAGTTCTTTTATGCTTCGGGTTAACCACGAGCATCAATTAATTTGAGCACGCAACCGTTTTTTGTGTTTACAGATAGTGCGGTGGCAATAAAACCAAACGAGTCAGAAAAATGTCTTACAATGGAGGTCTCCCAACGTATGCTCACGGTGTTTCGTCTTAACAATGATTAATGCATTATGAATTTGACTTATTATTTGTATGTATTTTAACTTATGATTTCTTATGCATTTTACTTTATGATGATTGAACTAATCTCAATTCCATGATTTGACTAATATAATTAGCTATCTTTTTATGTAAACTTACCTTTTTCCTCTTTACTCAAGTCAGTATATGTACGTTACACAAGAATTGTGTCTCAAGTCGCCAGTTTGTCGCTGGACTTTTGAATGTATAATATCGTTTTATCAGTTCATTGTCATGTCCTTTAAAGTTCAAATATTTTCCTCTCTTTGCGTTTCTTCTCTACATTTCTATTGGTTAACTGACTATTTAAGTGTGACGTACATAAACTTATAAATACACCTCGAACTCAAGTTCACCTGGTCAGTCGCTCAGTATCAATCGGTCATTTTCCATGTAATAAGTATTTCTAAATGTAGTAAATTATCTGACCCAAGAAAGTAACCGAGTCTCAATTCACCTCCTCATTTACTTCAACTTTGTCGACAACTTGTGCATCTTACCATCCCTGCATAAAGTTGTAAAATAGTGTTGCACTCACGAACATTTTTTGGTCTCATCGTACCGGATACTCTCCAGATATTCGTGAACTTATCGTGTTTTAGTGTAATAAAATGGCACCGTCAGCCATCGACAAAGTTGAACGTGACCGTGACACTGTTAAAGTTAATCTTACCTGGTTGGAAAAGCGTTTCAATGACCACGTCACAGCGCCTGCCCCAGAAGCGAAGATTCGACACTACATCAAAACAGTGGAACGTGCTCAAGAGAAGATTGAAGATTTATTTCAGAAAATCGCATCAATTGTTGACCCCAAAGACATGGATCCTCATTCAGCAGAATACATGTCAATGAAAGATCGAGCCCTGGAATTGGAGCACCAGTTTGCAACAGTTCTCAAGACCTTCGCCGTTCCTGTCATCCCCACAGCTGCATCACCTTCAACTCCAAGTACCCTACAGCTACCTAAGTTGACCCTTCCTACCTTCGACGGTGACCTCAACGAGTGGATAGCTTTTCGAGATATGTTCACGAATGCAGTCCACAACAATGCAAGTCTAAGCAAATCACAGAAACTTACATATCTCAAAGCGCAACTAAAAGGTGAAGCTGCACGACAGGTCCAGTCCATTACAATATCCGACGCCAATTACGATATTGCATGGACACAATTGTCAGATCGATACCAAAACGACCGTGAGATTTTCTTTTCAATTATGAAGCGATTCCATGACCAACCACTTGTTCAGCCACACTCAGCCCATGGCATTCGCCAGCTACTCGATGTGAGTCGCGAATGCATCCGATCCCTTGATGTTTTGAAGTTGTCAACGCACCATTGGGGTGCCCACCTCATGTTCATCATCGCAAGGAAGATGGACTACGCCTCCAAGGAATTGTGGGAGCAGTCTCTCAAAGACAGCGCAATTCCGTCCCTCCAAACACTTTACGACTTTCTCGAGCAGCGTGCCCGTGCTCTCTCAGCGAGCTCCACCAACGCCCAGAAGTCGTCAAAGCAAGCAACCCATAGACACGACAATGAGAAGACTTCACGTCCCAATGGCCAGCCCAGTCGTAATCTTGCTCATCTCGTCCAGTCGCCACCATGCAAAGTATGTTCGGAAAACCATCCAGTTTTCAAATGTCCAACCCTAAATGCCATGTCCGTACAAGAACGGTCCGAAGCGGTGAAGAAAGCCAGCCTTTGCTTCAACTGCCTCAAAGACAACCATACAAGCGCCCAGTGCCCAAGCTCAAAGACGTGCAGAACCTGCAACGGTAAGCACCACACTCTTCTTCATCGCGGACGGAACCCTGACGCCTCCCGATCGCAAGAAACCAGCAGTCACATGGTCCACCTCGCCCGGTCCGGTACTGCCACTGCCACAGCAAAACCTGACAAGCAACACAACGGTTCAAATGGTCAAGTTTTCGCCACCACATGTCAAGATATGAAGACCAAGAATTTAGAAACACTTCTGGCAACAGCAAGAGTCCTCGTTCCTGATCGGTACAGTAAATTGCAACCCATCCGCATTCTCAGCGATAGTGGATCCAACACCCACTACATCACGGAGAGCTGCATCAAAAAACTCGGATTACCAAGAACCCGATGCGTCGCTTCCGCCACTGGACTTGGTGAAGGAGCCCTTACTGTCGCCAAAGGATTTACATGGCTCACAGTTAGTCCCCATTTCAATCCATCCATATCAATGAAAGTCAAGGCGCTCATCATTCCCAAAATCACTGGAGATTTGCCCTTGAACCCCATCAGTCAGCACCAATGGCCACATCTGCAAAACCTGAAGCTTGCAGACCCCAGTTGGCATCAGCCTCTCCCAGTAGACATGCTACTGGGGGCCGAGTTCTTCTTCGAGGTCACCAAAGACGGCAAGAAGACTGGCCCACCCGGAAGTCCCGTCGCACTCAACTCATCATTTGGTTGGATGATTGGAGGAGGGTGCCCGGACTACAACAACTCTCTTCTCCGCAATGTGTCCCATTTGTCCACGACAGATCACATGACCGAAGAGCAGTCCCTTGACCAAGCAATGCGCAAATTTTGGGAAATTGAAGAAGTTCCACCTCATCGCACCCTGACCAAGGAGGAAGAAGCATGCGAAGAACATTTCACCTCCACCGTCAAGCAAACAAGTAATGGACAACTAATGGTTCACATCCCGTACAAGTTACCATGCCCTGTCCTTGGTTCCTCCCTGGAAATTGCAATACGAAGACTGAAACAAATTGAACGCAGATTAGCCATGCAACCCCACTACAAAGATGAATATGCCAAATTCATGAAAGAATATTTGGACTTAGGCCACATGACTGAAGTCGGCCCACCAGACAAGGACGACACCAATCACTGCTATATTCCTCACCATTTCGTACTCAAGGCCGACTCCACTACAACAAAATTTCGTATCGTGTTTGACGCCTCCTCCAAGACGTCAAACGGCGTGTCGCTCAACGACACAATGTTGATTGGACCTACCATTCAAGATAACCTGTTCGACCTCATCCTGCGCTTTCGTCTCCACAAAATCGCATTCACCGCCGACGTGGAAAAAATGTACAGACAAGTCCTCGTCCGTCCCGAAGATGCAAACCTGCAAAGAATTGTGTGGAGAGAGAACAGCAACGAACCAATCAAGCATTTCATATTGCGTACCGTTACCTATGGTACTGCAGCTGCCTCCTTTCAAGCCACCAGGGCCCTACAAGAAGTTGGACAACTCAAGAAAGAAGAGTTACCAAAAGCTGCTGCCGTCATTTGCCGCGACTTCTACATGGATGACCTCATCAGTGGAGATGCGAATGAAGAAGATGCACTCATCACTCAATCTCAACTCCTCGAGGCTATGGAATCAGGCGGATTCAAACTCCGCAAATGGTCCTCAAATTGTGAAACCCTGCTCAACGCACTACCCGAAGACCTACCAGAGTCAAAGTCAACTCTGCCCCTTGACGTGGATCCCACTATCAAGACGCTGGGAATCTGCTGGAACCCCAAAGAAGATGTCTTTGTATTCAAGATACAACCCCCTGCCCACGACGATACACCTCTAACAAAGAGGAAAGTTCTCTCAGAACTCGCCAAAATATTTGACCCTCCCGGCTGGTTATCACCCGTCATCATCAACGCTAAACTACTGATGCAATCCCTTCACACTCTCCAAGTTGGATGGGATACTACGCTACCTGAATCCATTCAACAACAATGGATATCCCTGGTCCGTGACATGTCAACCCTAGCAAGACTCCAGTTACCACGACACTATCTACACGACTCCACGATCGCCAGTCCCACGCTGGATGTTCCGGTGGTCACAAATATGTCTGGTCTCTGTGGTCAATCAAGTCAGTTAAACCCCGCGATCTCCAGTACCATGCTGGGTGTTTCGGTGGTGGACACTGACTCTTCGAAACAAAGACATGGTCACACTCTCCAATCAAGTACTCCTCATCATCCCACCCAATCCAACAATTCATCATTGCCAGCTTATTGTCTCGCTGGATTTTCCGACGCATCAGAACGAGCCTACTCAGCCGTGGTCTACTTTTGTGCATACCAAGAAGATAAGATTTCGACAAGTCTCATCACTTCGAAAACTAGAGTTGCTCCAGTCAAGACCGTTTCTCTTCCCCGACTCGAATTATGTGGAGCACTCCTCCTCTCTGAACTCATGTCGTCAGTCCAATCAGCCCTTCGGATTCCACTACATTCCGTCACAGCTTGGACCGACTCCTCCGTTACCCTCTCGTGGATTAAGTCACACCCCTCTCGATGGAAGACCTTTGTTGCAAACCGTCTCACAAAGATCCAAGCTCTTGTTCCCCCTGAACGCTGGGGTCATGTCCGCTCCGAGGACAATCCTGCCGACTGCGCATCCCGTGGCATAAGTTCATCCAAACTTATCAATCACTCTCTATGGTGGAAAGGTCCACACTGGCTCAAGCATGGAATTCCAATTCCACATGGAGTTATTGGACCCCATGATGATCAGTGCAAAAATGAAGAACGGAATCAAACAATTTGCCATGCAGAAATCTCGTCTCCAAATCAAGTCCTACTTAACAAGTACTAGTCGTTGGATAAATTGCTACGAGTAACAGCAATTTTACTCCGATTCGCTACCAATTGTCGAGTCAAGGTCAGATCCAGTAACCCGACCATGCTCCCTCTCACCCCAGTGGAACTCAACCGTTCTCTACTCTGCTGGGTCCGAATCACTCAAGCTGAAGCATTCGCATTGGAGATTAAATGCCTGCAACAAGATAAGAACATCCCTCTTTCAAGTAAAATTGTCACCTTGAAACCGTTCATGGATCAAGACTCTGTCCTACGTGTTGGTGGTCGCTTACGCCACTCTCTACTGTCCCCAGAAGAGAAGAACCCCATCCTCCTCCCACGCCACGGAAGACTCGTTGAACTCCTCCTCCTGCGAGAACATCTCAACCACTTCCATGCTGGTCCACAACTCATGATGTCCATAATTCATCGCCAATTCTGGATTATCCGTGCGAAGGATGTAATTCGCCAATTTGTTAAGAAATGTGTCACCTGTGCTCGCCACAAGCCAGTCACCCTTCAACCAATGATGGGAGACCTCCCTTCCTTCCGCGTGACCCCAAGTCGTCCGTTCCAGAAAACCGGGGTCGACTATGCAGGTCCCTTCCTAATCAAACCAATCCAACCAAGAAGCACTACAACAATCAAAGCCTACCTTGCCCTCTTCATATGCTGCTGTACCCGTGCAGTTCACTTGGAAATTGTCAGCTCCCTGTCAACTGACGCATTCCTGGCAGCACTCTGGCGCTTTGTGTCGCGACGTGGACTTCCCTCCGACATGTACAGCGATTGAGGCACCAACTTCGTTGGAGCCGACCGAGAACTCAAGGAGATGCTGACCATGTTCCTGTCTGCAAAACACAACCAAACCATAGCCGACCACATCTCAACCAAGGGGATTCGATGGCACTTCAACGTACCAGCAAGTCCTCACTTCGGTGGCCTATGGGAAGCAGGAGTCAAGAGTGTCAAGTTTCACTTAAAACGAGTGATTGGATCTCAACGCCTCACATTCGAAGAATTTACGACAACAAGTGCGAGAATCGAAGCAATACTCAACTCCCGTCCCCTTTGTCCTGAATCGAGCGATCCCAGTGATCTCACTACGTTAACCCCCGGACATTTCCTTATTGGTACCGCTCTCACCTCCATCCCTGAACCACATCTCCAAGATTTGCAAATAAGTCGCCTCTCCCGATGGCAACTCCTCCAGAGAATAACTCAAGATTTCTGGAAGCGGTGGTCCTCCGAATATCTCACCAGAATCCAACAACGAACTAAATGGATCTACGGTGACCACAAGATATCAATTGGTGACCTAGTCCTCATCAAACATGAAAATTTACCCCCCATGCAATGGCAACTCGGACGAATCACGCAACTCCACCCTGGACCAGACTCCGTTGTTCGTGTCGCAACAGTGAAGACAGCAACCGGAGAACTTAAGCGTCCCTTGGTGAAGTTGTCCCCACTTCCCATCACTTCCGCATCGGATCAAGCCGTCTCATCCACACCACAATAAAATTGAAAATTGGCATTTCAAGGCCGGCGGAATGTTTCGTCTTAACATGATTAATGCATTATGAATTTGACTTATTATTTGTATGTATTTTAACTTATGATTTCTTATGCATTTTACTTTATGATGATTGAACTAATCTCAATTCCATGATTTGACTAATATAATTAGCTATCTTTTTATGTAAACTTACCTTTTTCCTCTTTACTCAAGTCAGTATATGTACGTTACACAAGAATTGTGTCTCAAGTCGCCAGTTTGTCGCTGGACTTTTGAATGTATAATATCGTTTTATCAGTTCATTGTCATGTCCTTTAAAGTTCAAATATTTTCCTCTCTTTGCGTTTCTTCTCTACATTTCTATTGGTTAACTGACTATTTAAGTGTGACGTACATAAACTTATAAATACACCTCGAACTCAAGTTCACCTGGTCAGTCGCTCAGTATCAATCGGTCATTTTCCATGTAATAAGTATTTCTAAATGTAGTAAATTATCTGACCCAAGAAAGTAACCGAGTCTCAATTCACCTCCTCATTTACTTCAACTTTGTCGACAACTTGTGCATCTTACCATCCCTGCATAAAGTTGTAAAATAGTGTTGCACTCACGAACACACGGATTTGGACCAAACTAGTGTCAATCGATCAGAAATATAATTAGTATGAAATTTGGAAATGGAACTACCTGCCAATACGCAGGTTTGGCGGAGATATTTGCATCAAAGGGGGAAAAACGCGCAGCAAATTTGGAAAATGAAAAATATGCCAGCCTTTTGGTGCGTTTTCTCCTCTTTTTATGCAAGTTTCTCCGCTAAACTTGAGCATTGGCAGATAGTTCCATTTGCAAATTTCATACTAATTATATTTGTGGTCGATTGACATTAATTTCGTCCAAATCTGTGAGCATACGTTGGGAGAGATCCATTGTTAGTATAGTAAAACAATTTCGCATCCACAAAGCTGGATACATGTCTCTGTGTGCTTAAATTGACTATTTCGTCACAATCATAACCATTCCTTCACAAAGAGAAGTAACACATTTATGTAACCATGAGTATGTATATCGTTACATAAATTACTTTATTTGGTCTACAAGCACTGCCTCAACTCAACAAGGCTTAATTGAACTGATTAGCATAATGTACATATATACATATATAAGCAGTCCAGAGATTAGCATCCCCATAAATTTATTCTCGTTAATGTATTGAGTCTGCTGTTGCCCCCATTTTTCTAGTCTAATGCCCCCTCCCCCCCCACCTGACTTTAAAAATAGTGTTCGGACGAACGTCTTTCAGACTCTAATGATCGAACTTACCACCTTGCGGCTACCTTATTCTACGCTATTATTCTATAATGGGGTCGACATTCAGCACTAAAAACCATGTTTGTACCCCTCCCACCATCCCAACGACTATCATAAGTGGCTTGGCTAAATTGACTTAATTGATTCGACTTAAATTCAGAGATGGGTGATTAAACATTTATTTTCTCCGGATTAGGGATTAAGGATTAGTTTCCTCGGATTGTTGGATTAGGATTAGGATTGGAATTGGTCAATTTTCTTGGATTAGATTTTCCTGGTATTAGTGTTTTTAAGAAGAACATCCTGGATTAAGGACTAGAATTAAATAATCCGGATTAGTTCTATGATTAAGGATTAGGAATTAGTTCCAAAATTTTGTCTTCGCTGGATTATTGATTAGGGATTAACTAATTCTAATCCGGATTAGTAATCACCAATCCTTAATCCAGATTTTTCCCAACTCTGCTTAAATTTCATTCCATATTTTTCTATCATGTGCAGTGGGCCACAGAAAAAGAGTTTTCCCAAAACAGCAATTGCTATTTTTTGGGGGTCATGCATGAAATCTTGATCAAAAACTTAAAATATTTTATCACTCGAGGGGAGAGAAACTTCTGCCAGTTGGAAATATTTAAAAAAAAATTAACTTATAAACACAGTGCAGTGTGTTTCGCCACATAAAATTATTCTTTTACCTAAAAATTACATTTTTCCCCTTTTTTGAACTTTAGCAGATAACAGATAATTCCCCAAAAGATTATGTGACCACGCTCCCGCTGACGGACGGACGGACGGACAGACACACTGACGCAAAAGGTCATTCCTTAATAGGGTTTCACTTCACCCTGCATAAATTGCCTATTAAGTTCAATTAGTTTCAATTCACTGCTCCCAGTACATATAAATAAGTCGACATTACCAGAGTACGCATCATTTACATAGCAAACAGATATTTATAATTTATACACACCAGTGTTACTAATATTCTTCAGAAATCATGAATTTATTGGTTCCCACTCAAAAATGGTTTGTCCTCCTCGTTCCTCTACTTGCATTGGTAAGCTTTTTTTTGACCCGGATAATATTTTTCATGCGTAAAAATGCTCATCCTAATTTCCATAAATGTCATTTTTTGCATATTCTCGTAGTTCGTTTTCCCTTCTGCAGCCGCATTTAATTGGGGGGCTCGTCCGGACACGCAAACCCTTCAGACAACGCAATTATACATTATCACTTTCAAATTGCAACAAGTGGAAGCAAAATTGGACACATTGTTAAGTCAAAGGGAACAACAGCAGTTGCCGTGCAGCACAACGGCACCGCATCAAAACCCGATCGAACCCGGGATGACAAGGGCAGATAACAATGGACAAGAATTTACCACTGAACGTGGTTCAAACGTGGGTTCGGACTCATCGAAATAGTGATGCGACTCTTCAAAAAATTGCCCCATTAACACCACATTGAGCAAACAGAACATATTTCATATTCACAAATCAAACTATGTACTTGATAGCTAAATACAGGGTGGTTTAAATGTCGGGTTACAATGGAAAATTTTTCAAAGGGAAAAATTCGTAAATACCATTGGTTACGGATTTGGGATTGAGATTTTTATCAATTTTTATGAAAACTTATGGAACACTGATGACAAAATTCTTAAAATATTGAATTTCAGAGGCAAAATGTCGGTAACTAATGGAGATTTGTGAATTTTTCCCACTGAAAAATTTTCCATTATAACCTGACATTTAAACCACCCTGTATGTACACAAGAAAAGACGACTCGAACAATACAAAGTTAAATTAATATTGCAAAATAATATTAAAATTTTGACAAAAAAACAACTTTCACAACATACGTACATACATATATATATATATCTCTACTGTGTTTGCAGCCGCATTTAATATTTCATTTATGATTTGTTTAGTGTCACTAAATTAGTGATTTATGTAGGATTTTATTATTTTATGGTTTGAATTTGAAAATTGGGCATTATATTAATTTAGTGATAACAAGGTCCTTAAATTCCAGAAATTTTGTCCGTGTCCGTTTTCCCATCGCTTGGATCGCCCCTGTGTTTTCGAAAAACAAGAATTTTCTTTTTAACCTGAAAAATGTTGGCGAATTAAATCAACACCCTTTAAATATGATTATCTGTATGACTTAATTGTGCACAGTTAGTAAAATCTTTAATTTAGGTTTAGAAAATCATCAAATTACATAATTGCACAAATTTTATGGAAACCTGTCTTCTTGGAATCGTATGAAATCTGATGCTCATGCATTTTCATGGATTCCCTTTGTTGAGAGTGGAGGGGTACATTGAGTCTCACTTTTTTGGCACGAGAGAATTTGAGCCCACCTGCTCAAATTCCTTGTCAACATTTTCCTCGAGTTTTTTTTTTAATTCTTAACTACAAATTAATTATTAGTGACAAAGAGAGACAACAATGAACTACATAATTATAAATTTAAGGTGAGTGCAAAGTTGTAAACAAGGTACTGTCCCAGGGCCTTTATCTTCACATGTAAACAAACACATGGGGGTGGGGTCCATCCAAAACAATGTGTATATAATTGGTCTCTTGACCGTGGTCAGAAACATTAGTTTAATATTATTGAAAAATTATTTACTACATATTTCTCATGAAGAAATACTGAGAATTAGATTGTTATCGTAATTTGATAACATCGTACCTGCAAAAGACATGGAGTTTTACCGTGTTTTAACGTCGCAGAGTCTTATACGTACAACACATGCAGAAGGCATGTGTTGTACGGGATTGGTAGTTATACGGCGCATGGATGATGTGACGTCAGCAGAGATCGGCAAAACCTGCTTTCATTATATACCTTTATGGCAACTTTAGAACGAAATCGAATTTCGACATGCGGTTTTCGCCAACCTGTTTCTAATTTTTCAAATACGGCCGAGTTAGAAGATGGGCATTGTAGATCATAAGGTCATGGCGCCACGGTGATGAGATGAACCTGTCAAATTTTTTGTTTCCACAGTTTTAGACGTAGTTTTGGGCGGGGATTTCAAAAATCGCCATCATTTCGTCGTGTTACGACGCCAAAGTAATTCCGTCGAAATGAGGCAAACTGAGATTTTTACAAAATTGAATATATACATGAAATACAGTTAAATTAAGTGTTCCCGTGCTGTCGCAGGTTTGTCTACACCATGTCGAAAAATGGCGGGAACACTGGATTATGGATCTAAATTCGAAATTTAATTTTATTTGGAGTTGAATCTGGGAATGATGCAAATAGGCGAGTATGTAGACCTGATGAGAGCAAAAATTTAAAACATGTATGATGCATGATTCTCCAGAGTGGCTCGATATAAATGAAATGAGGGAACCTTAATTGTTTCATTATTTTTTTTAATAATTCAGATTTCAAAATTTCTTTATTTTGTATCGCATTCTCAGAATTTTGGGTTGCTTAGGTACGTGGCCTTGCTGCAGTTTATTTAAAAACATTAACACTTCAGGGGGGTGTGAAGTGAATTTTCAAAAACTAATTATTTATAGTGTAAACACGGTATGTATAATGTATTATTTAATTTCAAATGTATTTAACTAACATTATAATAAATTATTACAAAAAAATCAAAATGAAATAAACTCTATTCTATCCTGAGTTCGTTATGTGGGCTTCTCACATGTGGAATAGTTGATGTCTAAAATACAAATTATAATATTTATTTGGTATCAAAAGCTTCCATAATGTTGTAAATACTTATGTACTTCATCATCGTCAGTGGAATGGACAAATAATTGGCGACGACTGGATGGGTCCTCTAGTGGTGTTTCCACTGCTGTCTCGATTTCCAATTCATCCTCATCCGTATAGCCATACATAGTGGAAAGTCCCATGTTCTCATAATCATGCACCATACTTTGAATTGTCATTGACTCTTCAAGATCGGGAAAAACTTCGTCATATTCGAAGTCTTCGTCGTCTTCGTCATCGATTTGGCCCGGGTTGATCTTAAATTAAGTTACAAATAATAAGAAAGTTATTGAGTCCGTGCAATGCAATGTGTCTTACAATTAATCTTTCCGTTGGAAGGGAGTCAATTAAGTCTTCATAAAATCGATCATTTGTCCAGTATTCTTCCCCTAACCTAGAGAAATTAGTTTAACACAGTTACCTATTTCTATTTAATAAGCCTTTGTATGAACACCTTTTCACATGGTTGACATGTGCAATCCAATAACTGGTATTATAATTTCTCATAAATTCTTCTGCCGTCCTTTGCACTGTGGAAAGGTTTTGATCAAGATTATTTTTCCGGATATAATCCTTTGTATCCTTCCAAACATATTCTATTGCCGAGAGGTCGCAATTATACGGGGGTAATCTATTGAAATCTTTGAGTTATTACAATGCCAACGATCTATTACATATGTTTGCTACATTACCGAAGTATTTCGTGACCAGCTTCCTTTGCCAGCTTATCAATAACGTAGTATTTGTTTCCAACCTTCATCGACTTAATAATGTCCCAAAGTTCCCATTTTAGATATTGCTTCTCTGGTTTTATGGGGCCGCGGCTTGGATCCCAATGATTCGTTAGCCAGGTGTACATGACCCCCTTCTTGTCCCTGGAGACTGGTACCTCGGCAGATCCGTGATATCTATTTCAGCGACACAACAGTACAATGTAGTTAATATATTAAGCGCAAAAACATTTAGATATATATATATATATATATATTTATATCTAGTATATTTGTATAAAGATGAGTTTAAGTTATGATTCTTAACGGTGCATTGTCCACAATAATCAGGAAACTTCCTTTCCCTTCCAATGATGTTAACAATTTGCGAAACCAGGCGAGATAGGTAGGGCCATCTACGTTTTCTGAAAATATTATGTAACATTAAAATACGAAAAAATCCATCTTCACCACCTGCAATTTTTTAAATGTCGACAAAAAATAATTAGATATAACGTATTTTATTTCTTACCCGCGTTAAGCACGATTAGCCGAGGTCCTCTACCTATTTTATTTTGCTTAAATGTATATAGTTTTCTTTCCTGCCAGCTTCTGAATGTTCTTGGCACCCATGCTTTGCCAGTTCTGGCGTGGGGGTCCACCCAGGTTTCGTCTGCTTATTATTTATTAACTAAACCGACAAAAACAATATTTTTATATAAATATACGGAACTAGTACGCACCTGTGTATATAATTTTTTTTTGTTGGGGTCCCTTTCGTTTTCTCGTAGACGTTTAAGAAACCGACCTCGCCATCGAATTATATCTTCTCTTTGTAGGATTGCAACTCGGAGATCAACTGTGCCAAATTTATACCCAATTTTGTGCATCAGCTTTCTAAACGTATACAACGAGCACTTAAATCTCGTTATTGGCTTAGACGATGTTCTCTAGAATAATAGTACTTGGATGTAAACTTATTCCTGGTTAAAAAAAACTATTTTTTGTACCTCTAAAACATCGTCGTCATCCTTCATCCGCGCCATAAACTCGTTATAAATTTCTTCCAGAAATGCGACGCGATTATTCTGAAAGTGTTTCTGTATCATGGCTTTTAGTATATCTAGTTTGAATTGGTCCAGCAATTTAAAAGTCCTCATTTCTCGTGGTCGTTTCTTTCCAGGTGTCTGTATTTGAACGTTGTTGCGGTGTGCTACAACGACCCTTGACACCGTCCAGAGTTTGACATTTGTGGCTAATGAAGCTAATTTCGAGGGCGATCCCACGAGTAGCTCTGAATTAGCTGTCGCCCTGTCAAAAAAGTATTTCACGTTGATAATAATCTGCTGAGCTGTTGATTGTAATGCCCGGCCACGAAAATTGAATGGGCTTTGAAATGACACCGGAGTATCTCTGGGACAATTATTCTCGGCTGATGGTGTTGGCGTTGCAACAACAAAGTCATTCATTTGCATAGGAAGCATCGTCGAGCTACACCTACTGAGACTTTGATATGGCTTAACTGCTCCCTCGACATCAGGTATAGGGTATATAAGGTTATCTTCTCCAACAAGGCTTTCTACAATTGCCCATTTCAAGAACATACCACATTCGTCGAAATTGCATGGCTGACCCATTAGTAAAGAGTCCTGGAGATACTTTGTGATAAGACTTTCATGATCTTCTGTCAAAGGTTTTGGCTCGTAAACTCCATTGTTGTTGATTGGCAGCCAGAATTTTCTGGCTGTTGGTATGTGTTTCATGTAACTAGGAATATAAATTAGAATGACAAAAATTGTTCTCGATTGGGCGGACGGAATAGCTAAATTATACTGGTCCGCAAACATTCCTCTGGAAATTTGTTGATTCGTTTGAGTACCTCCACCACCCACAACAAAATATTTGCGGGTAACCTGATTTCCGCTAGAAGTGGTCTCCACAACTTCTACGAGTTCTTTGTTGGAGTGGTCAATCGTCCCGATAATTTTTGGACTATCGCCACTTTCTAGAAAGATGGTCAAAAATCCAGAAAGGTTCTCGTGCTTCGAGCGCCTTTTGGATGGGCACAACATTTCATATTCAAGGAAAGATTGTTGAGCACTAGTTTCAGTGACTAATTCTGATATAAGCAAACGACATTTCCCAAAAGCTGCTGGTGGTTGTGGATATTCTAGGGTTGTTTTCTCAGTAATTGACGATCTATCTCAGAACCACCTCTTCTGGGTATCTCTGGAGTCTTCGCAGGTGTCATCCCCGTGGTGTCATCATCGGTGGATTCAGGTTGAGGGCCACTTGCTTCTTCAGCGTTACCGCTGTCAGCACAAACGCGGGTGTCGATTGGTTGGCTGGTGGTCGTGTGTATATTCGAAGTAGACACTGGAATATTACTCTCCGCATTTATCGGTAATGATCCATTCTGCAATAGTGTAAATAAAAAAATTAACTTGGTTCAATCGTACAAATTACACAACGAGTTACCAAATAGAACGAAGGAAATGACGGATATAACTCAGCAGTGTGACAGACTCCTTGCCACAAGTCGGTAACAAGTTGCATCCATTGTTTCCCCAGATCGGCACCCCTACTTGTTGAGATACCTTCGTCCTCGAACGATGAAAATCTTGCGAAGAATAACGTCAGGCTAGGGGAGAACTCGAACGGAATGTACTACAGTGAAGATGTATATCTCTTATGCACTGTTGATTCAAAAATAGACTTGCTTTTCATTACTAATGAAAATAAAATAAATAAATCCGGTCTCAATTTTTGGACTTTTTCAAGCAATTCGTTGTCCGCTGTTTCAGGGGGAACACCTAACAAGTATGCCTTGTCATGTTCACGGCACGCTAAGTCTGCAAACAGTTACTAAGCATTGAAATCAACGTCAATGTATTATTTGTAATTGAATTCATACGTATGTATACCCAAGGCATTGATTGGACCCCCAAGATCATCCATTTTTTCCAAATTTGTACCAGGACCACAGTAACTATATATATAACACAAATTTGAAATTGTAGACTCTTTTATGCACCAATAATGCACTAGCAATTTTATGCAACATTTACCGATATCCTGGTAAGTTAAATCTCAGAAGTCCCGAGTTGCGGTTATGATTATTTGCAGTTGAGTTGCTTGCGTCAATTGCTGCTCTTCGAACTCGTGCATCTAATTTTTGCTGTGTGCAATATTGTAATCGTCGTGTGTATCTCTGGGCGTAGAAGTTGCTTAACAGGGTTAAGGTGAGTATATGGGTGTCGTTAAAAATGGAGAGGTATGAACAACCCTCAGGGAGGGGTCCATTTAACTCCACAATAAAATGCGAAGCATTCTCAGCACTACAATTGAGTGAAAATTCATTGAGAATTTTTGCAGACCGTACTGCTTCTAATAGACTTTGAGGCTTATAATACGGCCTTCCTCGATGTCCTTCAGGGGCAAATAAGCCCTTTTCTCTGATAAAACTTTCATTCGAGCCGGGAAAAGTAAAAAATTGGTTTATCTAGGAGGTGATTGTAGAGTTGTCGACATGCATAGAAGGATACATGTTGCTGATGCTGGTGGAAATGGTCGACCCATAATGGGCCTGACGATACCCATGAATTTCTTGGGCATGTTGAGACATGTTCTTTGTGATTCCAGATTTCCTTAGTAAAGTAAAATCTATGCTTTGTGTTTCGTAATAAAAGCAATTGGTTGAGTTACATACTGCTATTGTGGAGCAGTCGGATAGATGAGCTAAAACTCTTTTTGAATATATGAAATTGGTGGTGATATTTTTCTGGTGGCAATAGTGCGATCGAATTACTTTTTCGTAGAATGCCGACAATTGTGTTCCAAGCAAATTGTAGCTTCGTTTCCAAGCAAATGGGAAATTTAAATCTGGGGTCTGACCTTGCTCATCCAAAAACGAGTTCCACTCTGGGGGAGTGTTGAATGGGTCATTGATACCAAAAGCCGCATATCCCTGGTATAATGCCGCATTGACAGAAGCATCTAATTAATTAATTTTTATTATAAGACCAGTTGGTTCGTAAAGAAATTGTGTTATAAATTATACAGCTTACAAAACATCACGAACACGGCATTCAGATCTGGGATAAAAAAGGGACGGTCGTTCCAAATATATTGTGACGTGGTTCCATTTTGGAACACGGTGTGCATTGTGACAGGGTAAACCATTTTCTGTAGTAAAGTCAAGACTTGAATGAATGCAGGATTGTCCTCGGAGCTACTATTTATATGACTCGAATAGGGCCTCAGAGGTAATTTTAATTACTAATTTGCAGGTGTTCAACGCAATATTAAATGCTTATGCAAAGTATTGTTTTTGAAGTGCTCCGACTGTGCGTCACTTGTTGAGTTACGAAACATTAATTACTAATTTGCAGGTGTTCCGACGCAATATTAAATGCTTATGCAAAGTATTGTTTTTGAAGTGCTCCGACTGTGCGTCACTTGTTGACTTACGAAACATTACTTACTAATTTGCAGGTGTTCCGACGCAATATTAAATGCTTCTGCAAACTATTGTTTTTAAAGTGCTCCAACTGTGCGTCATTCGTTGAGTTATGAAACATTAATCCATTGTTTCGACGCAGGTGCTTATCATAATTGACTGATAAGCCACCCAGATAACCATAATTCACTTTTTAATTATTTTCATCGCGTACCGTGCTGCTGGTGTAATACCATATGTGGGGCATGACAGTATAGCAGGTTTGCCTTCATTTATATCGAGCCACTTTGGATAATCATGCATAACGCATATTTTACATGTTTGTTCTCAACAGGTCTACGTACTCGAATATTTGCATTATTCCCACATTCAACTCCAACTCAAATTAAATGTGGAATTTAGATGTATAATCGCATAGCACCATAGTCCAGTGTTCCCGCCAGTTTTCGACATGGTGTAGACAAAACCTGTAACAACGCGGGGACACTTAATTTAGCTATATTTCATCTATAGATTAAATTTTTGTAAAAATCTCAGTTTGCCTCGACGTAGGATTACTTTGAGGTCGTCACACGTCGAAATGATGGCGATTTTTGAAATCCCCGCCCAAAACTACGTCTAAAACTGTGGAAACAAAAAATTTGACAGGTTCATCTCATCACCGTGGCGCCATGACCATATGATCTACAATGTCCATCTTCGAACTCGGCCGTGCTTGAAAAATTAGAAACAGGTTGGCGAAAACCGCATGTCGAAATTCGATTTCGTTCTAAAGTTGCCATAAAGGTATATAATGAAAGCAGGTTTTGCCGATCTCTGCTGACGTCACATCATCCATGCGCCGTATAACTACCAATCCCGTACAACACATGCCTTCTGCATGTGTTGTACGTATAAGACTCTGCGACGTTAAAACACGGTAAAACTCCATGTCTTTTGCAGGTACGATGTTATCAAATTACGATAACAATCTAATTCTCAGTATTTCTTCATGAGAAATATGTAGTAAATAATTTTTCAATAATATTAAACTAATGTTTCTGACCACGGTCAAGAGACCAATTATATACACATTGTTTTGGATGGACCCCACCCCGATGTGTTTGTTTACATGTGAAGATAAAGGCCCTGGGACAGTACACCTGATAAAGGATAGCCTTATCCTGTAAATGATACCAAACCATGGAATATCTGATTTGAAACGATGAACATTTGTAAAAATAAGTAAAAATCAAAGTTTTTAAAATTTATTGGTGCTTCTTCTTGTTGTTGTTGACAAGTTGTTGCAGGATAAATTCGGTAATTAAGATTTGCTTAATGGCTAATTTCGTATTGTGTTCTTTTGCACAAATTATTACTTTCTAATTTTCAAATTGCCCAGTAATCAATAATTAATTATGGATTTATCAATTATTTTTACGATTTGCTAGTACCGTTCCGACAAGGACTACATAATGGCCCCAGAACCCCTTCAGGGGACCGGAAATCAACACGTGGCCACCGAATCTCCTCCTCGAAGAAAACCCCCCCGACGCCTCACCCCAGAGGAGAGGGGGGTCATGCTCGAAAAGCGAAGAAACACCGTGCCCGAACTCCTCGGCCCCCTCGTGGACGCCGGACGGGCGAAAGATGTACGAAAATTACGAAATCTCTCTCGAAAATGGGATTTACACCTGCGTCACGTGCGGTTTTGTGACGGGGCCGCAATACAAAGAAAATTGGAAGCGATTACAACTGATTAAAAGGCACGTTAAGGCGGCACATTTAAGTAAGGGGGAGGATTTCAATTTCAAAGAATTTTGTGTACCTGGCACAAAATTTTTGATCGTCTCGAGTAATTTAAAAATATTTATTTCCAATTTTCAGACGCGTATCAATGTCATTTGTGCGAAAAGAAGTTTATCAGTAGTAAAGGGTAACTTAATTCTTTTTATTTTACACTATGATTAGGAAATTATTAAGATTTGATTTGAATTTTTCCCGCGCTAAACGTGACCACGTGTCCTTTCCAAGCTTGGAAAGGACACGTGGTCACGTTTGGCAAAGATGCTTGCCAATATCTGTGCCAAACGTTTCCCCAAAATAGCCAAAATTGCTCGCCAAATAAACCCTTAAAATTTGATAAGTACTCTTCGTTCAAAATTAATAAGCAGTAAAAAATCTGAAAGGTTATTCGGCAGATGAATTTTTCCCATAACTTGATTTTGTTTAAAAATACTTTTATTTTCCAACTTTGCTCTGATTTTCGTTGGAAAAGGAGACGAAATATGCACAATTAAATCGTTCTCAATGGCAACCTGAAACTTCGGCCATTTCTAGGGTTTTAGATTGTCAACTTGTCATGATATTTTGACATGTCATAAATGTCACACATTTATTTTTATTGACAATATGACATTTATAAAAATTTGTCAAATTCGAAATTGTCAACTTTTCTGTCAACTTGTCATTGACAATTATGACATTTTTGTTTTTTCTCTTTTCCCCAAATAAAAATCATCGTAGGCGGTATATTTTGTTTCTCAGCTACACATCTTTCTTGTCATACATTTTGAAGCTGTGACATTTATGACAAAAAATTGACAAATTGACATGTCATGACATTTATTCCGTTGACACTGACAATGTAAAACCCTAGCCATTTGACTTCTTAAAAAATTTTGAGGCATATTAATTTTGAACCAACTTTTCCCATTAAAGTTACCAGCTCCACCTCCGTAAGATGCATCCCCCCGAAGAATTCAAGGCCCCCCTCCGGCTTTGTGATCTCTGTGGAAAATCCGTCTCCAACCTGGACGCGCATTTGTGGGGTCACAATACCCCCGAGGAAAAAGAGCAAGTCGTCCAGTCCGGAAGAGGCTTCGCGATCTTGCCGTGTGACCGGTGTGGCAAAGAATTTACCGGTTTTGACAAATTCGCGGCGCATCAAACGATCCGGAATCGGTGCAAAGGGACCGGGCATCCGGTAGAATTTACGTCTCCGAATCCAGGTCTGGCACCGTGTTCTCTCCGATTTTGACAAAAAAACTAGTCTACATAAATCTGTCACAAGTTTAGTTAAAGGGTGTTTATTTAATTTGTCCCAATTTATCCGATCAATATTCGAAAACCTGCACTATAAAAAAGGTTGAAAAGGTAATTTTCTATTAGAGACACACCACTAATTAGTCTTTCGGCAAGTTGTATTAATCATTCCCTTAGCATTCTTCTTTTGAATTTGTCCTAATTTTCGTAAATTTATGCCGGGTTCCTACAAAAACATCGGAACAAATTAAATCAACACCCTATATAAATTTCCCAAAGATTAATCACCAAACCAATTTATGTACCTGTGCTAAAAAAAGTTGACATTTTCACCGTCCAACTTTGACAAGAATCGGGACAAATTAAATCAACACCCTTTAATTGAAATAAATTTGTGATCGATTTAAATACTCTACTGTTCATGTGAAAAAAGTGTAGCCTTCGCCGAGCCAAATTTCTCTAAAAGGTTACCTGGCAGCTATCCTAATTTTTTGGGGAATATCGTAGCAACGTTTGATTTTTGACACTGAAATAAATTTCTTTAATGGATAAAATCCGAAAAATGGACAAATTCCGCCAGGTAACCTTTCAGAATTTCTAGGGCCACACTTTTTTCACATGAACAGTAGTTGATTTGTCAAAACCGGAAAGAACACGCCTGCATTTCATTTTTTTTAAAAAAGGTTCAGCCCGGAAAATTGCATGTGCCACGTGTGGCAAACCGGTCTTTTACACGAACCTCCCCCAGCACGAGTGGACCCACAAAAATCGGATAGAAAAAGCGGAGAGTGCCCGACTCGGGAAGGCACCAATACCTCGATGTCACGTGTGCGACAAACTCGTGACTCGCTCGGCTCTCAAGAGTCATCTCCAAAGTCATGGAAATATACCGGAAGTTGAGAGGAAATTAAAGTACTTAAGAAACGTGGATCATGAAGGTGTCCCCCTTTCCCCCAGTGGGAAAGATGACGGTTTGTTGCAATGTCCTGGTAAGATTTTTCTTAACGGGGAACAACAATTTAGCCTCTAAAGCGTTTTACTCAGGACGGAATTTTCGATTGACAAAAAAAAACGGGAAAAGAAGATGTCAATACAAATAACATTTTGCACTGGAAATACTCGCATTTGTAGACAATTTCAAGTATTTAATTCCAGTTGAGTAACACAATTTCAATTTAATAGAAAACATTTGTAGAACTTGAACTAGAATTTCACGTGAAAAAATCCGTCCTGAGTACTTGACTTTAAGGAGTACGAAAATAATTCCGGGAATGTGGAGGAGTAGTGAAATATTTCGTTTTTTATAAAACTCGAGAAAACCAAAAGATCCTAAATTTAAAATTTGTCCAAATGTCCAAATTGTCATCCTACTGACTGCATACATACCTGTTCAAAAAAACTTTTTTTCATTCAAAGTTCTGTCATCTTGATTTCTGATTGAAGATTTTCACTCAAGTTCAGTCATTTTCTTTCAACCAAGTTTCATTTCACTTCATCCGACTTCATTTCTTACTTCGCCCCATAGGGTGAAAAATGAAGGGAGACAGAAATCCTTTCATTCAAAATCAATCGTCTGAAATGCGGCATTTATAAAACCACCCCCACCCCCACCTAAATCCACCCCCACCCCCATCAAATCCACCCCCACCCCCATCAAATCCACCCCCACCCCCATCCACCCCCACCCCCATCCACCCCCACAATTTTAATGGGGCAACGTGAGATACCTTGGGGCAAAGTGAGATTCTATTTCGTATTGGGGTATCGTTCGTAATTAGCAAGCGAAGCGAGCAGGTTAGGTTAGATCAACTAGGTACGCGGAAAGCCTGGAAGGCTGAGCTAGCAAATCTAGCTAGCTAGGCTAGATAGGACCTAGGTAGCTAGGGTAGCTAGAACCTAGGTAGCTAGGCTAGATAAAACCTAGGTAGCTAGGGTAGCTAGCCTAGCTAGCTATGCTAGATAGAACCTAGGTAGCACTTCTAGCTAGCTAACCTAGGTAGCCTTGCTAGCTAGCAGAGCTACCTAGGTTAGCTAGCTAGAATTTCTACCTAGGTTCTATCTAGCCTAGCTGGGTGGGGGTGGATGGGGGTGGGGGTGGATTTGATGGGGGTGGGGGTGGTTTTATAAATGCCGCTGAAATGACTGAATATTCCATTCAGGTTCATTCAAATGACCACATTTTCATTCCCTGTCATAGTCAATCACGTGAATGAAAATGAACAGGTATGACTGACTGACTGACAGACAAAATCTGCACATAAAGTAGCTAAATCCACTTTCTTCTTGCAGAACCGGCCTGCTCATCGCGCCTCTTTGCGACGCAATTCAACTTGGAAGATCATATCAGTCGTCGCACCGGGCGCGGGCGGAGCGCCCCTTCAAATGTGACGTTTGTCAGGCGCGATTCCTCGTCAGGAGTGATCTAATGCGACACGCGAAGAACCACCCGCCACGTTCCGCCCTCCGTCTCACGTGTCCCCAGTGCCCCGTCCTCTTCGCGAAGCCCAACGAGCTGAGAAAGCACTTGACGGTGGACCACGCCGTCCCGAAGGAAAGCGCGACGGAGAGAAGGCGCAAATACCGCGAGGGAGCAAAAAATCTTGGTGAGCGAATATGTACCAGTTCACATTCATTAATTCAAGGGATACATTATTCCTTCATGAAATTAATGAATATTTTTTTATAATTTTTGACCGAATGACGATTGAATTATATGTTCGTGAATGAATAATTTTATTCATTGTTCACTTTTCACGATTTGCTTCATACATGACATATGTAAATATGTTGAGAAATCAATCTAAAGGCCGGTGATTTAAGTCGTCTCCATCGTTTTTTGAAAACCGACACACATTTACTTCAAAGTTTTTCCGATTTTTGGAGCAACAAGTTTTCAAATATTAATCGGGACCAATTAAATCAACACCCTTTACTAAGAGATAAAATGAGTAAAAAATTCATATTGAACAATAGCAGTGTCTAAAGAAACACTTTGGACGCCAGCCCCCCCTTTCGATTTTTAAAGTGGGGTGAACGGTTATGTGACCGTGATGACCTGGTCACATGACGATGTACTTGTCGTCGTCGTCGTTTTATGCAAATAAATATGCATTTAAAAAAGTAGTATGATTTTCATAAGTAAAAAAAAAAAACTTATTATTTTTAAATGCATAAGGCTGCCATGGACATATAAATTATAACTTAAAATTATGACGTGTGACTTATTTTATAAGTTATAAGTCATGGAAATGCCATGTGTCGACGTATCCTTATAATTATATATAAAAAAGTGGTGGACGGTGTACATAAGGAGGGCCGAGTCGTTGTTGGTTGGAAGGTGGTTGTGGTGGACGGTGTATTTAGGAGGGGCCGGGTCGTGATCTTCTGGAAGTTGGGATGCGGGTCGCGATACGGTCGGAACGGCGAAGTGGGACGAGAGGGCGTGGGACGAAATTGGGAGAAAAAGGGTTCGTGACGGAGAGTGAGGGAGGAGGGTTTGAGGAGCATTGGGGAATAGCTGGAGGTGGGCACGATGGGCGACTTTGTGGGCAGATTCGAGGGGAGTAGCGGCAGGTTCTGCAGGGACGTCGACGACGTGGTGCTGCGGTTGAGCAGGACGAAGAGGAGGGGGATCACGGCGGCGATTGAGGAGGGCCTGCACGCGGCCTCGGAAAAGCTTGCAGTAGGCAAGGAGGAACGTTCCACTGCACGTAAGGAAGACGAAGACCGCTAGCCAACATGCTAAATAAATTTAAAAAATAGAGACAAAAGTCCTTAAATTTTTCTAAATTATTTTTTTGTGGCATGTAAACAAACTCTGCCAGATAACCGCTCAGATTTTTTAATTAAAAAAATATACCTATGATCGCCACCGTCGGCCATCCACTTTGTCCACACGGTGGACACGGCTGTGGGCCTGGAATGGGAGGACACTGTTCCCCATTTCCAGGTCCTAAGATGGTCGTCCAGCGACCATCAAACATGGTGGCGTTTGAGGCGCACGCGAAAACACCCTCCGCAGACTCCCCCCACCAACAGCTCCTCACACAGCTGTTGCAGTCCAAGGCTTTGGAAAGACACCCCATCTAAATTATAAAATTATAATTTTGAAGCAATCCCTACAAAGAATTGCAAAATAAACTTACCGTATGAGTATTTTGTATGAGAGGGAGCGAGAGAGAAAAAAACTGGACCAGACGAGTCGGACTCCGATACGCACATGTGCGGTTTTAATACACCGTTTACCACCAGGAATTGAACTTTTAATGGCTTTTCTTATTTTTACACATCTTGTACTTTGCAAGTAATATGGCTTTTACAAACTTTACAAACTTGCAAATAATTTTTATGTAGTCGTAAGAATTATGCAACAATTAACTCTTGCATTTGTACTACCTCCTCTTGAAAGACCGAGTCTCCCTTTTGGTGCGGAGATTGAACTATGCTCCAGTGACGGAAGATAATTTTCCAATGTCAATCATTTGAAAATTTGCTATTAATAATAAAAAGAGTTACTCACTTGTGACCAAGATCGGATGTCCTCCACTCCATATACCCTCTTCTCCATTTCGTTTACAAAAGGGCCGACATTGAATCCTGGTTGGATTTGCGATCCCTTTTTTATGCAAAGTTCTTTACTCAGAATAACCCGAGCGACGCCAAACGGTCAAACGATATGACTGCAAGTGTAAACCGAAATGTAGTTAAGCCTTTGTTTCTTATAAAAGCCGAGTTTTTAAATGCTAGCCAATGCTGAATAATGATGGAAATGCATGGAAAATGAAAACGCTATGAAAATTATTTCACAGTACATAGATTTATTAATAAATGTTAGATATGCCTATTTACAAAGATATTTATGCCTTACATATTAATTTATCTTTTGGTGGTGTTGCTGGTTCTGTGGTGTGGAGTGTGGTGGGTAGGTGTGGGTTTCACGGATTACACTTATCTATTTACAATACGGTATTTATATACATAGTATTTACATATTTACAATTTCTCGAGGTGGTATCTTCCTTCGGCCAGGTTGTTGTTGTTGATGTCCTCAAGAGAAGCTTTGGATAGAATTCCGAGAATTCCCTGGATTAAAAAGAAATAATATCAATGACTGTTATGATTAATATTTGGTATTCATTTAAGAAGGACTTCCAGGTGCATTTGTCGTACCAAAGTTTTGCGACAAGTTGTGTCCAAACAAGAGCGACTTGAAGAATGATAAAAAGCGCTGCAGCTGCTCCAGCAGCAATCCATGAAATAATATCATGCCCTGAATTTTCTGGCTGGGTTTGTACACTTGTATCATGTTCATTTACGAGTGCTGGGTGGTCAAAGTTGAGCTCAGTAGAATTCTCAGTTTCATTCGCAACAGTAGAATTATTTGCGACACTTGCATTACATTTGCTCCAAAACTCAATGAATTTGGTCAGAGGTCTTAGGTGAATCCTTTTGCATTCAGCAACAGTGCACGCCTGTTCAACGATAATTCCAAACTGTTTCTTCTCGGCTGTCAGTTGACAAAAATAGTCAGGTCGAGCTATCGGTAACCAAACTGACTTGTAAAATCCAAAAGTTCCGTTTCTTACACACTCCACACACTCGACTTCTATGTTCCGGAAGCATAGAGCTGTTGGGACGAAGGCGCAGATAAGAAAAATGTACAAGTTGATCTCCATTTTTACAGAGTTTACTGAGTTGATGACTACCAATTGATAACTATTTGACACTTTGATATTATTTATTCCTGAAATTTTGGTTTGCTAAGAGTTTAGCTACTTTTCGACTGCAGCAAGTCTGTCCACCGGTTTTCTCACTGTTCAAGTGTGCACGCTTTATAAAATTTTCGACAATTTCGTCGTTTGTATTTAGGTTAGATCCGAATACTCTGGTTGCTGCCTTCAGACTGAGCCCTTGACTTAATTTGTAGAGTATATATAGTACGAACAGGTCACAGTTAGTGGATGTGTCACTCTGAATCGTTCTAGTTAATTGGGAAACAATTGGAACGGGAATAGGGATATGATAGTGGTCAAAGTCTTCTCCCAAACTATCAATTGCAAAAGCAACTGTTTGTCCACCACGTCTCAGAATATAAATTCCTAACCAATGCTCACCAATTCCAGGTTTGCTATTTATAATGTACGCGGCGGGCAACCTTTTTAGATCTATGTTAACTATTTCACTGGGACTAAGTACATTAAAATTGTGGATTCCTTGTGGGATCATTAGTTTTCGAAGGTAACAGAGAAGTGACAAAGTATCCATTTTAAAACTGCAAAAGGGCGTCAGAATACACTTGGTTATTTTTGTCAATTTGAATTAGCGTTTGATTCTGGGCAATGGCAAAACAAGTAATTGTGTTAGTCAGGGCTTCTCGAAATTTCAATTCTATTTGAAGTTGGCCCTGTTTTTGTGGCTGAAATGCTCCTCCAAAGTTGTCAGGTGATAGATCTAAAACTACCATGAATGTTCCGTTTTTATAATCATCCTTAGTGATCCCTGTACCAAGTTCGGGGTATGTGAAAGCTGCTTGAATCGTTTCAAATCCAATCAGGTTGATGTCTTTGCTCATGTCAAATGTGATTTCTCGCCACAAGACCGAGTCTCCATTTACAGTGATGACTAAACTTTGAATGTTGAAATGGTTTAGGCAGAATATTGACTAAAACTCGTTCTGTATCTTGCATGAAAAACACAATCATTTCTGGCAATACACCAGACCATAAAATTTCTGAAGCAACGTTCATGGAACCTTTTGCGACTGAAAAAGTTTTGACATCGTAAGATCTTGTTGGTAGTTGCATTCGCTTCCCACTCGAGAGAAGTTTTTGGTGGTTTGTGATAATTTTGGGGTTGATTACATGTCTATGAATTCGAAGCTGGACATCTTCAAAAACTATTTTGTATGGGCACGGTGAAGTCGTTGTACTTGATACGAGATAAATTTCTGGTTGAGACCTTCGTAGGTTTAGTTTTATTTCTATATTTGGAGGTATCCACCTTCTTTGGTTAAATACTGGTTCGACAATTCGGCCAGATGTTTCAAAAATTTTGCTCGAGGCGCTGAGGGCGCGACGTTTCACATAACCTGGGTTTAATGCAGTAAATGTGTCCTGTGGCGAGTCGGGAATGAATATTTGTGGTGCAAGATAGTTCTCTTTCCCACCCGCGGTGAAAGAGAGTAAGTCTTGGATGTGATGGCGATACAAGTAATAATTGGAGCAGCGACTCACTACATGACCATTTAAGAGACACTCAGAACTCTCCCACAGACTTGGGAGAAAGTTGAACTGTGGAGCTACCTCGTCTGCTGCCTCGTCTGCGATGTCGGTACCATCGGCTTTTACGATTTTGCATTTCAAGTACAGTCTCGCTGACTCCAGGTCCAAATAATGCCCCCCACTGCTATTCACTATAAACTGGATAGGATTCTGGTTGTCACGAAAATTCGAAATAGGGTAGTACACCGAAATTTCAGAACTAACTGTTGTTACGTCCTGGTTAGGTAAACTGAACAAATCTACAGAGTTTGACGCTGCTTCGACTGAGCCCTTTTCCATTTTTTACAATTTCACTTCTTCTTTGTTGCAGACATTTTGGGAGCTTTTTTCTTCGGTGCTTTCGGTTTGGGCTTTGGCTTAGAACTGCGTGACCGTCGACCAGCGCCACACGCTTTAATATTTACACTTGTACTTTTTTTAGACTTGCCTTTACCACTTTGACGCGGTTTTGTCTTTCGTTTGGTTTTCTGGGGTTGTTGACTTTTAATCAGTGGGATTAGATCAGTCAGTCTGCTGTCTGAGGATTGAACCCTCCACTTCCGAATTTCATTTTACCTTCACCAGTTTGAACCTTGAGCGCCTTTGGGAGTTTGTCGAGGAAGCAGGCTCCTAGCCGACAAATAATTTTTCTCATAAACGTTTTGGCCTGAAGTGAAACGTTAACGCACTGGCTTGCAAGCTGGATGGTAAATATTGCAACTTGTCGTCTACTGGTTGGATTCTAATATTTGAAATTGAATTTGAGGAGACCGGTAAATACAACGGACGTGGAAAATTGATGTTAAATTGTTTGCTCGAGCAAGATTCTCTGGGAAATGTTCGAATAACTGGAAGTGTTTTTATTCCAATATACTGAGGGTGTACCACATTTGTCAGGACGAGACCAATGCTCGAGAACGACTGAACAGCAGGTTGTGGTGTTGGTGGGTTTATATTTCTGGAAGTGGTTGCAGTAAAATTTCCTCGTGTAGTTCAGAAAAAATGAAGTCTTCTGGCAGTCCGAATAACTTGTTTATATGTGATTGCAATTGTAATTGACATTCGAGGTTGTCAATGAATACATGTAAGATATCTATGGAATCAACCCTGGTTAGAAATATTCGCACCGGCTCGTCATCTAAGCTGTCAGCATAGGAATCAATTAGATCAGCGTATGAGTACTCTTCAGGTTCTTTAACCGTTTGGTAATATTGAACCCAATGTATCCCAGTAATGGATAAATCGGCGTCATCTGGTAGCAACTTGTACTCGTGGTCTGACTGCAAATTTTGTGATGTGTACTCTGATCCGTGTGCAAATGAGTTTGCTGTGAAGCCGAGGGGGCGAAGTAAATTTTCAGAGAGCGTAAATATTTTATCTGGGCCGGATTTTGATATTTTTAGTACTGTGCGGTGGCTTGGATCTTCATCTTTTTAAAACTCAATATCTCGATGGGAGCTTTGTGAATTTTCAAGAATGTGTTTAAAGCCGAAACGAACGACACAACTTGGGAGGGAACGGTTTTTGATGCGACCGTCGCTTTCGTTGTCGTGTATTTTACTTTGGATTGCAGCCATGTTTTAAATACATTATTTTTCCCATCGAAAAATTTGGGAACGACTGGAGGCAGGGGAGTTGGAGGGGTCGGTGGCACTGGAGATGGTGGAGAATACGAGTCAGTAAAAACTAGATCTGTGAGAGCTACTTCAAAATCGCGGTTTTTAAAATTCAATCCGTCTGCCAGCACATTCACAAAATTCGAATTGGAACTTATCAAGTCGTCGCTTCCCGCGTTGCTTATGACTGTCACACAAAACTCGTTGTCATATTCCACGAAATTATTCATTTCACTCATCAGAATTTTCAGGGCGACTAGTTTTTACAAGATCTTCATTATAAAAAGACGATTCTACTAATTCGTTGTTTTGATCTCGAAGTTGATAAGTTGGAGCCCCAGGAGTAGTGAATGAATTTGTCTATAGTGAATATTTCCATAGAGTATTGTGGCGTGAATCCTTTATAGAAAGTTTTTATTTTACGGGAGGATATTCTGACTCTGTCTCCTTCGGCATACTTTGGTAGAATGGGGTCTCTAGCGACGAGAGACGCGTAAATATTATGCCAAACTAATCCCTCGAGTTCTTTGGTTACATCTCTGCACTTTCTAATAGGAAGTGTAGCAATTTCGGATAAAAATTTGTGTGCTCTGCTAATTCGATCTGTCATTTTTAGGTACATAGATGGCCATATCCAAGGTTGGAAAGGCAAAGTTTCTGACACGGAATCTAGAATATAAGTGAAATGAAATTCGGTAAGACCGAGTATTAAATAGAAAGTACCTGTCTGCTGTGTCCACCGTAAAGTCAAATAGCAAATATTTGTGGTTGTTATTTTGTGTAGCCTTGTTCATTGCGTCAGTGAGAAAATTCTTTTGCCCTGGACTAAACTGCTTTTGTAGGTTAGTCAATACAGTTTTGTCCTTGATGGGTTTAAATAGGAATAAATACGATGTCTGAAGGAGACAAGTTCGCAACTGCTTCACGAAGACATTTTGAATTAGTATTGCTATAGTTGTTCGAGAGTGATGGCTTCGGCGGCAAAAAAATTCTGTGATGTAAGTATTGCTGGTCGGATCGCGTTCAAATTTTAATAATGCATCATCAATGACATAAAATACGTTTTGGCTGGGATCTAAATTCTGCAAATACTCTTCAGCTTCTTCGATTGACGAGAAAAATTTTGCCTTAGGGACATCTAGTAAGAACGATTCAAAAATATCCTGCCAGTGTGTGTAAACGATGAGTATTGAGTCAAATAGTGTGTCGAATGCCAGCTCCTGATTACGCAACAATTCTAACAATGCAAAAGTTTTTCCGACACGGGAAGCTCCTGCAAAGACTATATTACAACTATGCTTGAGTCTGTAGTCGAACTCCGAAACACTTTCTGATGGCATCACAAATCTTCCCCACGTAATAATCTAATGTGTCCTGTGGCTGTGGTATCCACTTTGTTCTTGTTCAAATATCTCGAGAAATTCAAAGCCGAAATTGCTGCTTTAGAAGTTTCATAAAGCCCTGGTGAAAATTCTTTTGCTTGTCATCCCTCTTATCATGACAAGAGACAAGGCAACGCCGCCACTTATTCCTTAATTCGTTCGACTCTTCACTCACCCCGATCATTATTGGCAACAAAAGTTTAACTAAATGTAACGTTAAAAGTGCCACAGCGGGGAAAAATAAGAACAAAGGCATCGGTATTATTCGGTACATTTTCAAAGCCACGAAATTATAAATGATGCAAAATAAGAAAGCGTAAAAGAGAAATAGAGCTGCCGCCTGGGTCGTAAAGTCGGCCGCCATGTGTAGAATTATTTGACAGGAGTCGTACTCCAAGAAATATTTAGAAATCTTAGCCCTCCCGCTAATTGCAATTATTCTCGCTTTGTTATTAAGGGAAGAAATACAGCTAGTTATCATTAACGCGGATAACGTGGCCACGCACACGGTCAGCGATAAGGTTCGAATTATTATCCAACAATTGATGAATAAGGTAACTTTTAGCGGAGTTATGATGTAAATTGACACGTTTCGGAAGGCAAGAGGTACCAAGTGGATTTGAGTAAGGCTGTAAGCATCGAATTGCATGTATGCGCTGGACGTGGGGACGATAAAGGTGTAGGAGGCGAAGGAGCCAATCATTCCGTTCAAAACGAGCCCGATAATGTCCAGTTTTTGTCCGTTGGTCAACAATTTTTTGAAATCTAGAAAAAAATTTCATTAAAGATTTATAAACCACGTTTCCTTGATTACATTTACGTATTTGTTTTTCCAGGATGACGAGACTGTTAATGGACTGAGAAACATTATCTGTAAAAGAAAACATCAAAATTTCCAGCAGTTTTATGAATAGACCAAGGCCTAAGAAAAGAATGGAAATTAATAATTGCACAAATGTTAGCTGTACTGAGCCAAATACTTGACCGAGTAGGAGAATTATGTATAAGGAGTTTGCACCAAATAAGCTGAACATTAATAGCTTCCAGAAGAATAGATTTTTCGAGTTTTTGTATGAAACCAAGGTTTGGCTGGGAATGTCCCAATCCAAGGGAAATTTGGGCATGTATTTAAATAATTTTGCAAAGTTGTCAAGTGCTCGCCACATTAGTGGGGTCACGGTCATTCTGATGAAGGTTCAGTGAAGCTTCAGTAATTCGAATGTTTTTTGTAGGAAAATTTCAGATTTGTCGTTATAAGTAGAGACAGATATGTGGTGTGTCTTCAATATGATGTTAAAATGATGTTCTGCCCCAAAATTGTGTCGGCTTTTAAGACGCAAAGGACATTTGGTTTCATTGTTTTGTTTTGAAAATTAATGACTAATTCGTGCATAATTGAATATTTTCCTAGAACTCATTTCAATGTCAGTATTTATATTTATTGTTCATTGGCGTGTGGCGTATCATTGGCGATGGCATTGGTAGGTAATAACCTGACTAAAAGTAATAACTCGTGTAATGAAAAACTTTTTCTAGGATCTGTATCTAGAACGGCAAGCTTTTCGGTATTTATTAAAGGTGATAGTAGCTATATATATACCTATATGTATGTACGTATAAATTCACTAAATCTAATAATGCAACTCTGTGGGCATGAACCTGCTTGAGCTATTATGTACGCCTCTTGCTCATGATAACGAGCGTTTAACACGGAATTAACCCAAACGGCCACTTTTATGCATATATGAATTTGAAGTATTAAGTATTTTAAGCCTTAAAAGCAAATGGAAATACATTATAAGCAAAGTTTTTTGTTATTATTCGACTCGTTGCTATACTCGAGTTCTTAGTTACTAATCCCATGCGTACTTATGTATGTTCCTACTTTAATATGCCACATGCCTATGAATAATAAGTACAAATATTTACAATGACAGAACTCTCAGTAAATATTCAATTATGCGCAAATTGTCAGTTGACGAATTTATCCCCCATAAGGGGCAATTAAACGCCAAGTTAAGTACCACCATTGATTTCGGGATTGATTTTTTAAAAACTAATCCCAAAATTAGACATAACAGCCGACTCGCTTGTCATGTTTTAAATGAAATCAGAGGCAACACGTTGCAAAACGTTGACATAGGTGTCGTTTAAATAAACTTAAGCAAAAAAGAAGCGAGAATGGCATCGGCATAACTAAATAATTCTTAAAATAGACTGACAATGTTAATAATATTTAATTTATATGAGATGAAATCAATAATCCCTCCATCCATATAACATGTATTGCATGAGGATATACACGAGTAGACTAAGCAGGGGAGCTTCACCACCTGCCCCTCTCAGATCTTGATGTGGTTTGGATATGTGGTAGTGTCCCATGAGTGCACTAAAACCCTGAAGTGGTTTGACTCCCTGGCCACATTTGCCCCCGCCATACCCACTCAAAGGCGCCAAAAACACGAAAAAAGCCCTGTTTTCACTTGTTCAAACCCTCACCAAAAATCCAATTTTGCTCGGATTTTTGTAAAATTTACATTTTTGTAATCCCGGATACTTGCTTGATCATATCCAGTAGCAATCTGAACTTTTTTGAAATTTTGAATTTTTTCGAACAATGCATCGAAAATGCCCGAAAATTTCGAAAATTTCAAAAAAGTTGAGATTGCTACTGGATATGATCAAACAAGTATCTGGGATTACAAAAATGTAAATTTGATCAAAATCCCATCAAAATTGGATTTTTGGTGGATTTTTGAAGTTGGTAACAAATCAGATGAAAATGGAAATGCGTATTTTGTGCTGGGCAATTTCACTTACCATTCAACTTCTTACTATGAAATAATGCGGAAATTGAAAGGTTTCGAAATATTTGAGATTTTAGAAGAGCTTCTCCATACCAGAGAAAACGGGAAATTCTTCGATACGAGTAATGGGACAACGCGTTGTTTTCTCTTTAATCCAAAGGATGGGCAAATGCAGCGTTTCCTTTTCGTAGCTTTCAACTTTTGGAAGAATGAGCTACAGCAGGTGGGAATGTATTTGGAGCAGGCGGGGATTCATCGGTACTGGCAGGTAGTGGAGAATTGGCAAAGGCTTTACATCGAATTTGTTCCAGGGAATGAGGAAGGGGTTTCTTTTGGAAACAAGGCGTATTCCCCGATACCCTTGAATTCCCATTTACAGATGATATTTCACCTTTTGATTTGGGCATTCCTATTCACCGGGATTGTTTTAGCATCGGAATGTCTAGGATTTCAATACATGCATCGCGTAAAACAAGCTGGGAAGAAAATCCTAAAAGCTGGGGGATTTGTAATTGTGAGAGTGATGAATGGGATTAATTACTACGTTTCAAAATTTAGAGATATGGTTAGCAATTGGTTGTACCTGTCAAAGAAATGTGTCAGAGCTCAATTCCGGTTAAAAAGTCATACAAAATCTTCTGCAGCGGAAGCACAGAGAATGTCTACAGCGCCAGATGGACAGTTAAGCAAAAAGTAGAACAGTAAGGAAATTCCACACAAATAAGTATGTCCCGTACAATTTTGAATCCTTTAGCCATGAGTTAAACTAAGGTTCATGGAACAGTTCTAACAATGACGATGTGTGAGGTGGTTATCGCCGACATCCACCTGACTAATTTTAAATTGTTCACGTTCAAAAATAAGTCGACCCGTATTTTCAAAAAAAATTTGAGCCAAAATTAGGATTTTAAAAAAAGCTCTTCCAATTTTAACCCGATTTATAAAAATTAACCCAATTTGTGTTGAGAATTACAACCCTGAAAATATACAAATTCAGTTTTACAAAACTTCTAATTTTCAAAAAATTATCGTCTTTTGGGGTTATAAAAATTCAGCAATAGCATGAAAATATCAAATTTTTTAAATTTTTAAAAATAAATTTGTATATTTTCAGGGATTTAATTCTGAACAAAAAATGGGTTTATTTTTTTAAATCGGGTTAAAATTGGAAAAGTTACAGCGTATTTAAAAATCCGAATTTTGGCTGAAATTTTTTTTGAAAATTCCGCCAAGGGCGAAAACATGAACAATTCAGGAAAATGAAAAAATACGGGTCCACTTATTTTTGAACGTGAACAATTTAAAATTAGTCCGGTGGATATAGGCGATAACCACCTCACACCGTTGCATTGTAAGTGCTCTCGTGATTTAGAAAATTTTCAGTCGAAATATGACGGGAGGCCTTATAAGTAAATTAAAATATATCATGGCAATTAAGTATACCTAGTACTGCAATAAGTTTTGACCACTACTCAAATAAATCTAGCGGACTCGGTTTTTTGAATTTTGAAAAAATAGCGATATCACGAGAAAGCCCATTAAATTCCCTACAGAATATACTGAGCACTTTTCCAAATTTCCTCCTTTCGAAGCTACAAGAGCCCAAAGTTTAGGTACCCATAAATCATTCGCGGTACGCACTCATTCCCAGGAATATTAGTCTCATTTCTAAGCGATAGATTTTTTCTCGGAATCAAAACTTGTGTGGAGTTCAGCACGTGCATCTAGCTTCAGTTTGGACCACATGTCATATTCCAGAAGGTTGAGATCCGGCGACAGTGAATTTTGTTCTTGGTCCGAAATGGAGTCAGAAATTTTGAAATTCTACCCTCTCTTTACGATTTTGGCCTTATGAGAAGGTCCTGAGCCCTGCTCGAATATCTTGTAGCTATTTTTTGGTTGGGTGTGGTGTAGTGGATCTCCCATTGGCTCGATTATTTCAAAAAATACCTTCTGACAAAAAATTTCACCTCAAGAGAAAGAAAATTTACTTTTTTGACCAAATCCAGTTTACGCAGAATAAAAAATCACAGGAGCTGGATAGTGTGTCCGATTAAGATTTTTAAAATTTTCGTGAATAATATGGACTGGTAGGGTGTGGACACAGGCCTTGTACTGATTTTATATGGCCTCAATTGTAAAAGTTTGCCTATCTTTCAAAAATATTTATTTTCATCTTTCAAGCGCGTACCGCATGATCTGCGCCCGGCCTCTCAGGGTTCTATTTTTGCTTGGCGTGAAGTTAGCAAGTATTTCTCTTCAAATCTTGAAGACATAAGTTTAAGGTCAAGTTTAGTGGCCTGGGATCTTGTTTTACTCAGCCCGTTCATTTGGAGGGAAATTTTTCTTTGGCTCCGGCATGGGTTCGGCCGAATTCAGGTTTTCCGCGCCTTCGTGATTTTTTGTGACCTTTTTGACCGTTCCCGTCAACTTTTATTTCACTCATTAACATTGCCAGTACCAGTGGATCATTTTATGGTACGGTCGACCATCTTGCGATTAGTTTCGATTTTTATTGAGCAATTGAAAAATGCCGGATTTTTATGCTTACCAAAATGTTTCTGAAAAATTGCAACACGTCGGTTTGGCGGATCTGTCATTTTAGAACCTCGGGTCACAAAAAATTTCGGAACACGGCTTCTGATAGACCATTGCATGGGGAATTCAATAAAAAATACTACAACTGGCTAACGTAACTGGTACTAATGTTTTTGGTGCCCGGAATGCTTGAGACATAACTTATGGCAGTAGTAGGTAAACAAACATATTCGAATTACAATTGTTTATTTGTCTATCACAATATTTGGAGCATAATATTCTGAATTGGTTACCAATTTTATTCCCTATATTTCAAAGATCTCAGTGAAAAGGAACCTAACAAATGGACACTAAGGATATGAATGTTCACACTAAAATTCTCGGTGGACGCGAAATAGTCCAGATTTTGTTTGAAAAAAATATTTTACAAAACACAATTTTACACGTGTTAATTTGACTTTGGGATTTATTTTTGGACCCATTATTTAACCGAATTTAACCGTGTATGAAAATTTGTAAAGCTATTGAGTTACTGAACATATGTGGAACTATCAGTTTCAAGGCCGGGATCCCGCCGTTATGAAACTATGATAGTGGCAAAATGATCTTATAGGAACGCCTTAACCTTTAGTATTGAATGTCACATAAAATTTCGATGGGCTTTTGCTTTAATCGTGTGATTGATCAGAATTGAGCTAGCCAAAATACATATATGCATCTTTGTCTGCATATTTTAATTGTACACGAATTAATTTTGTTTTATATTCCTGATTCTTTGTTTGGATTAATAAATGTACAATTTGACTGCCTTTTTGGAGCCTTTTATGTCGTTGTGGTTGTTGGCGTGGTTGTGGGGGCGACAGTGGTTGTGGAGGGGTTCAAACTTGGAAGAGGAATCCAAAATCCGGGGAAAACTGGAAATATGTATTTTTCCTGATAAGCCACATACTTCGTACACTGTTAAAAACCTGGCAGAGCCAGATACTAGTATTGACTCGGTATTAATTCAATACCGAATTGGTAATAATTTATTTCGACATAAGTGGTAGGTTTTTCATTACCCAAGCAACTTGGTAGAGGTAAAGGGTGTTTATTTATTTCTTGCCTATTTCTCCTGTCAATGTTTGAACGCTTTCACCTTTTCAAAAATTGCTAAACCTTCGAGGTATGCATATTTTCGTAATTGCAACGTATGGCTAACTACTTTTTCGACAACTTATGACAAATACTCATCCCAAAAACTTTTTTCTTTTGACTTTCTGCTAATTCTAAAAAATATAGTATCAGTTTCCCAAAAAAAGCGATTGGGACAAGTTAAATCAACCCCCTTTATAACTCTGTTCTCCGGTCAGAGTAATGATTTAATACCAGTTTCCTTAGAGATTCATAGATTTATTTGTTACTTACACCACTTGGCCTCTTTGCCTTTTCCTGCTTGCTCACCCTAAAAATTAGACAATTTTTTTTTCAAGTGGTTAAAATATTTTCAAACTTCAAAAGTCTTCAAATAATCAAACCATAACAAACTCACCGCTCCCTGGACTGAGAAGAGTGACGCCACCAACAAGGCGAGGATTGGAAGGAATATCTTGGAAAATTTCATAGTGATTTTTCTTGTTTCCTTTTTCGTTGTGAAGCTACTGAATTAGATTCTGCAGAATGATTTATGTATTTATTCTACGGTTTTGATCTGTTTTTATATGAAAAGTTTTCAAAAGCGAGAAAAAATACATTATCTTGTCCGGATTAACAAATAGTTTGAGCAAATAGAGGTAAGGGGATTTCTCGGAAAGACTAAAATTTGGGTAGTTTTTAAATTGAAATAAATGCAATTGTACAAATAAAGGTTAACTAATAACGAGAATTAATTGTATTGATTCTTTTTTGATCGACGTTTGGAAAATAATAGAAATTGACCTTGCCTCGCCTGAAAAAATTGAATAATGAAACTGATTTTTACTAAATTTACCTCACCATTGGTTACACAGGTGTTTTATGTACCTAAAATTATGGTTTAAACTTCGTAAGCGTTTATTTCTGACGTCATGCAAAGATTGTCGAAGCTGCGTTGTACATATTTAGTATCCAAATTTCACCGACGATTTATTGCCTTTAGCGTAAGTTAATTTGTTGTGAAGTCATTAAAAGAATAATATTTAGTCAATTTAATTGTACCATAGGTGGGTTTACAGGTGGGATAAATGGTCTGCATACATAAGCGTAGCGGCGAAAACTCCCCCACATTTTTATATTGGTGGCAAACGAAATGTTCTAATAGTTCAGACAACTGATTTCGACTTGTCCCTCTTTCAAAAGTTTCTGGTAAAGGTTTGGTAAATTTTTTCAATGGAAACCAAGCTTGCTTCAAGTAACCGGTTGCCCATCGAACTTTGGAAATTTGAGAAAACCAGCTCCGATTTTGACGAAACAACGATAATTATGTATGCAGCCTTAGGTAAATAATTGAACACGTGTTTCAGGATTTTTCAAAATGCTCAGTTAAAACGAAGTTCTGAGGGAAAATGTTAGCGAGAATTTGTGCGTTTCTCCCTTGCTGAAAAAAATTTCAAGGTGAAAATGCAAATTTTTGCGCACTTTTCCATCATAACTTCGTTTTAAATGAGCATTATGAAAAATCCTGAGACATGTGTTTAATTATTTGTCTAAGACTACATAATTATCTTGTTTGTTCAAAGTCGGAGCGAGACCTCTGGCGTCATCGCATTTTTAGCGTAGTCTCAGCTTCCCCCTAACGACTCTAATGTTTAAAGTCGGTGGGTTGTATGAGGAAGTGAAACTTACATACCTGTTAAAAATATCCAAATAAACGTTGAACATTTCTCATGATTTGGTGGGTTATCATTTTGTGCGTGAAGCATTGCATTGTTTTCGAGAGATAACAAAAGTGATTAATTACATGTGTCTGGAATTTTCACTGTGTGTAAAAATCACAAAACGGTTGGGTATAGTGCGAAAGATTGTTAAACTGTGCGAGATTTATTGTGGTTAATATGCAAAAATGTGTATTGCTGAGTGAGCAATATGTAAATATGCACATATAATATAATATTTCTTATATATATTATATAGCTCGAATAAACTGCTTTTGCAACACACACCCATGTATTCCGACGAAACCCTTCTCAAATGATATTTCTTAAATATTGGTCGCTCATTTCTTATCTCGTTATCCGAGGTTGGCAGCTAACTCGACAGATTTATAAATCGATGGATGAAACGAGGCAAACAATTAGAAACTAACAAATAACATACATAAACATTCATGCCGAATCCTAAAATTTAGTTGTCATTAATTCATTGTGTAGCTTAAACAGTCTTATTTTAATCTGCCCCGTAATCTTACAAAAGGCCACTTAAACCATAAAAACCCGGGGTAGCGAACCCTGCTATCAATTCACAACCAGCCCATGCAGTAGGTTCTTGTAAAGTCGCGATTGATGCTAACTCGTGATGAATAGTTCTGTCGATTATTCCCACTGGTTTTATGATCTGTCAGCTATGCAGCAAAGTCCCTTACCGACCTCAAGGAAAAACCAGACTCGTCTTCGTCGCCATGCGAGTGAGAACTCAAAACCAGTTTTGCATTTACTTGCATACATACATAATTTGTGCATCATAAATTACTTCCAGAATTTTGCGTAAAAATCAAGATAAAAAACGAGAATTATATAATTTGAACACAACCTTACCCAATGTTTTCCGTCTGGAACGAGTTGTTCTATCTCATGTTTCGTGGAGTTGGGTGTTCAATTCAGGTCAAAACATATTTAAATGTGCGTCCAATTTATTTATTATTTTCCTGTACATACGTAAATAAGCTTTGAAGCAACATATATAAATAATTTAAGCATTACAAATATTTGCAACACAGCACCAAGCATACTATGACAAATCAAATGTTTTTTTGTTAATATTTAATTGCTCAATCTCATCTCGATTTGTTTAAACATAAACTGCATAGCTTGCAAGAATGGAGGTCTTGCGGCGCATACTGTCCAAATTAGTGTAACTCGATCACAAATTTAATTAATTGGGAATCATCAAGAGCCACGATCTCCCAAACGGACTTAAAAGTCGACAAATTTTACACTTCGGAAATTTACTACGCTTTTTCTCCTCGTTGGATGTAAATATTTCTGTTAAAGGTGGTATGTACTTAACAGGGAGATTGTGTCTTTACAAATTTCACACTAATCAGATTTTATTTTTTTGGATTGCCACTCGTTTCGCCAAAATTGGAAAGCATACGATTGGAGGCCTGCATTGTACATAAGCGAGTCGTGCTACTGTTTGTCTTGATCCTAAGTAAATTCATTTGTAGTAATTACGTCAGAAATCAGATAAAAAACACTGCTTACTTAATTTTGATCTCACACAATAAAAATGTTGTCAGTGCCCTTGACTGTCTGGATATCATTTTTCAGGTTCTTTTACAATCAGCGAGATCAATTCGCAAATGTATTCATCCAAGAATAATGTTGACACGATATGCAACTTAATTTTTCTCGTCTACGTATGCTTAGGAGGGGAACCTCACTAGTTGCCACCCACAGATCTCGATGCCCTCTGGATATGTTGGAGCACCCCATGAGTGAACAACAACCCCCAAGTGGTTTGATGCCATGGCCACATTTGCGCCCGCCACACCCACTCAAAGGCGTCAAAAATGCTAAAAAAGCCCTGTTTTCACTCAATAAAACCCTCGCCAAAAATCCAATTTCTATAGGATTTTGAAAATATTGCACCATTATACTCCCAGATAGTTGTGTTATCATATCCAATATCAAACTCAACTTTTTTGAAATTTGTATTTTTTCGAAGACGTACCCCTGGTCAGGAAATTTTCGAAAATATTAAAAAAATTTAAAAAATATATTTTGGTGCCGGATATTATAAAACAGCTATCTGGGAGTATAATGGTGCAAAATTTTTGACATTGCGGCCAAATTTGAATTTTTGGCGAGCGTTTGAAGATGGTGATTTTCGTGTTTTTGACGCCTTTAAGTGGGTGTGGCGGGCGCAAATGTGACCATGGCATCAAACCACTTGGGGGTTGTTGTTCACTCATGGGGGGCTCCAACATATCCAAAGGGCATCGAGATCTGTGGGTGGCAACTAGTGAGGTATTCCTCCTTAGAAGTAGGTACTTACCGTAAAAACTCGAATAGTAGCCGGGGGCTACTATTTATAAAATCGGTGGCTGAGACCCGGCTACAATTTGAGCAAGGCTACTATTTGGGCAAGGTCACTATTTCTAAAATTATGAAGATAGACACGGCTACTATTTGCATACTACTATGATTTTTATTTCCTGAATCAAGCTCAAATGAAATTTTAAGGACAAGACCAATTTTGCCTTTAGGGTCGTAGTCTATTAGAATATTATTTTGCTCGACATGCTCTTCAATGATTCCTTCGATGAGATAAAGTGGTGTTTTGCCATCGACTCATAGCTTCGATGGTGTGTAACTGCGATTATATTAAATTATAATTTAATTCTTTTAATTAACTGGCCAGAAGTGTGGTTGTATGGAAAGAGAGACGCGTATGTTCGAATAAGGCTACTATTTGAGCAGGGCTACTATTTGGGCAAGGCCACTATTTGAGCACGGTCACTATTTACAAAATTTTGAAAATAGACAGGGCTACTATTTGAGCACGGCTACTATTAGAGCAACGGCTACTATTTGAGTTTTTACGGTATTTGCATAAACCAGACAAAATTTATTCCAGCAAGGAAGATTATTATCCGGTCACATAAGCTGAAGCTGGATAAGATTACGTACCCATTAAAAGGATTAAGTATATGTGCATTGTGCACAAAATGCAAATGCTAAGCTCATTTACAAGCAGGACAGGATCATTCTTGTCATAAATAGTTATGCAATCGTATAACCAAACCAGCATTGCAGAAATGTGTTATGTAATTATTAACCGTGCACTTTCCTCCTTCTCTATTAAATAACTAGGTTTGGTGATTTTTCCGTCAAGTCGAGAATTGGCTGTGGAGTTGTGCCCTGTTGCTGCTGATTTTAGGTAATTTCCGTAATTGAGGTAGTTACCAAGCGATTATCATAAAATTTAGGTAATTATTTAGTTCAACAATATACCTGAAATGGGTTCTGAGGGGAACAACTTTGTTTAAGACTATAGGTTTTGACTGCCATATACGTCAAACCGAATGTTCAAAAGATTTCAGAAAAATAAATAAATAGTAGGTAGTGAGTTTAGGATATTACGTTTTTAAATTTTCGTAATTCCCCTAAATTCTGATGTCATCACTCTCGGCTCCTATTTTTATCATTACTGAGTTTCCTCCTTTACATTAACGCATTAAATTATCTATGGAAATTTTGACGCAACAAATATCTTGGCAGCGTTACCTGAAAATTTAAAAATATAATAACCTAAACTTCGCAAGTATTTTGTTAAGAGCATAACTATGTATTTTAAAATTACACCCTTTTTGTATGCACTTTTTATGCAGAAAAGGGTCTAATTATCAAAAACAAACGTTAGCTCCAAACGTATGTACATATCTTAATATTCTCAATTTTTTTTAGCTAAAACAGCTGTGTTGAGATCCCTGAACGAAACAACATTTTTGTTCACCATGTATCACCTGTATTCCGCAAAA